AGCTGAGACCTGGAGGGAGTGAGGAGCAAACCAACAAAATCAAGGGGAAGAGCTTTCCAGGCACAGGGACCAGCAAGTGCCAAGGCCCCGAAGCAGGAGGGCACCTGGCAAGATAGTGAGTCTGGCTGGAGTGAGCGATGGGGATATAGTATGAAGTCAGAAGTAAGGAGGCAGGTAGTTAGGGTCTCAGGGATAATTTAACAACTTTATATTTATTATGAATAGGGCCGGGGGATTTGAGATCTCTGAACAGCAGTGATATGATAAAATATTGGCTGCTATGGTTGAGCGCAGATTGTTAGAGGAGTGAGAAGGCTGTTGCAATAAGTGAGAGCTGATGGTGACTTGGTGGTGGTGGAGATGATGAGGTAATTTTTGAAGGTAGATCAATAGGATTTCCTCCTGGATTAGAGGAGTATGAGAGGGGATTAGTAAAAGAGAAGCATCTAGGATGAATCAGTGACTCTTGTCTTGAGCAACTGAAAACAGTTGGTATTTAACTGACGTTAGAAAGGAGAAGCAAGTTTGGACCGTGGAGGTGGGGGATCTTAGGAATTCTGTTTTAGATATGTTACTTGTGAGAGGCCAAACAGACACTCGAGTGAAGATGTGGAATAGACAGCTGGAAATGTGAGATGAGTTGAGGGCAGAATTCCAAGCTGGAAACACACGTGTGGAAATCACTGGCATGGAACAGAATGAGGTCACCAAGACAGTGGCAGAAAATAAAACATGTCCCGGTGCGACCCTAAGGGCCAAGGCTGTAAGACTGTGGGAGGGCTACCACCAGACCAGACCAGACCAGATTTTCCCTTCCACAGGCTGCAGCCTGTTGGTGAGATGACCCAACATCAATCATGTAGTCTGGGCAAGCCCATAATGGCTGGCAGAAAAACAAGATGGGAGAAACTTGGGTCCTTGCATGACTGTATGGAGCTGAGCAACTCACCAACCTGGAAAACCCACCCTGACTGTTAGGTGAGGGAGAAATAAGCTCCTATCTTTTCTGAGCCATTGCATGTGGGGGTCTCTGCCCAGGAATCTGAATCACAACAGGCTTATGCTCATATTTAGTTACAGCCAAGGTTGGAAAAGTGTAAATTTGAGCAAGATTAGTTTGAATAATATTAGATTTTTTTAAAATTTGATCTTTGCTTTGGAAGAGAGGGTTGATTTCTAGTCTGAGCAAACTCAGAATGGAGAGCCCTGTACCCATCAATGGGAAAGATAAGAATATAGCAACATTCTCAATCTGAAGGAAAGTACGACAGCACTCACGTAATCATAGCTTGGCCTCAGTCTGCACCCCCAGCCCTACTCTTTTTCTGTTGAAGATTCTGGGATTTCTTGTAAGAATAACTAAAAACACCTCTTGCCTTAGCTATCTTGGTGTGTTTATGAGTTTGGGTATGTGTAAGAATACACAGGTCCCACCCCAGAGTTCAGATTCAGTAGGTGTAACTGGGGCATTTTTACCAGCTCCCCAAATGATTCTGATGCCAGCGTTTGTGGATCACACTTTGAACGGCTCTGTCTAAAAGATTTCCTGACTAGATTTAAGAAAATGGTTGCTATCAATTCCAAGTTTAGTCAACGCAATGTTTGAAAGAAATCATTTACTCTACAAATTCTTACATTCCGGAAAAATAAATTACTATTAATGCAAAGCTGATTCTAACAATGGCATAAAGAGGAAAAAAAGTTTACCTTGGCTTGGATTTCCATTTTCAGAATTGATCCAATGATTGTCAATAAGTCACTAATAATAATCAAAATGTACCATCCATTGACAAATTCCATTCGATCAGAAACGGAAACCTCCTTCTTATAATGGAGGAGGAAAAAATTGACAAATTCCTTTAGGGGGGAGAGGGGAGGCACAATGAGTGTCTGTGTTGATCAGCATGGCTGTAACATCCCCAGAAAAGCAACAACCCCTACCTGTTGCAGCTGAATTCCTTTAATCACAGATCGAAAGCACAGGATTAATGAAGTCAAGCACATCAGGATAACAAAGCCATCAAAGATCATCATGTAATGAGTGTTTCTCTGAACTGGAAGGAAAAGGATTACCTGTTTATGAAGTGGGACATGAATACAGCGACAGCGACTTTTTTTCTTTTCATTTTTAGCCTCACTTATTTTAACTGCTGTGCTGCACACCAGTTATAGATGTAAAACATGATAAAGGACGCTCAGGTTGTAATCTGTTCTTCCCTGCTGGGAACAATTCTTCAAGTCCTCTTTGTACTTGGGGGGATTATAAGTATTTTTTTACTAAGGAGTGGACCAATGAAGGCAAATGGAGAAGGCAGGAAAAGTCATTTCAGTTATTAATAATTTATGTATTACCGGGAACATCAGATAACTACAATGAATTGACCTACTTGCAGAGAACTAGAGACTCGGAAGTAGTACATAGTACAATTCTTTCATTCACTGCTCCACCTATCCAGGAGACCAGTAATTTAATAACCATTTTGGAAAACAAGTAAAATGTATCAGTTACCTGATCCAGAAACATGCCAGTCTTTACATTCTCTGATGGAAATGTCATTATCTAAACTTATCTTAATTCTTCCACTGTGGGCTTTATTGTCAAATGTGATCTGCAAAGAAAAGAAAGAGGATCAAAAACATACCTGTAGTATTTGAAGCCAAGGTACCTCCAACATTAATTAGGAAACAATTCTTTCGGTGCCAGAGGAGACCCCGCGTCTCATCCCTGCCCTATTGCTAACTCTGTTTAACCTTGGTCAGTTCACTTTATTTCTCTGTAAAATGAAAAGTTTGAACTACATCTTCTACAGAGAACTGTCAGTCTCTAAAGTCCTATGCTGCTAGGACAGTATTCCAGCCCTGGGAACTTCTAAAACAGGAGAACTTCCCCACCTTCCCATTCTAAGTACCTCCATATGCCCTCTTGGTATGAGCAAGGGCTGGTACAAAGCTTCCAGTTATAAAATAAGTCAGCCATGGAGAGGTAGTGTACAGGACAGGAAATAGAGTTAATATTGCAATAACTTTGCATGGTGACAGATGGCTACTAGGCTTGGTGTGGTGATCACCTCTTAGGGTACATGAATGTTGAATCACTATGTTTTGCACACCGGAAACTAATATTATGTGCCAACTACACTTTAATAATTTTTTTAAAAGCTCATAAAAGTGTGCTTTCCCCCACCTTCCAGTAGTTCCTCCGCTAGGAATAGATTTTAAGCACATTCCAATTCTTCCTAACACAAGAGGTTCATTTTTCTGTCTTGAAACATTTTAAGTGAAACTCTTTAAAATTTTCTTTCTGGATCTAGATTTCTTAGTCATTCTAGAACCATGTGTTCTGCCAAGAATGTGGCCCCAGGGAATCGACAGCCACTTCTTGCCTCAAGGATTACTATTCAGGACACGGGCACAGAGCCGGACAAAGCCACGCCAGAACACCTTCCCGAGCCCTTCTCTGTTTCCCCTCTAGCTTCTTCCACTTTCCCCATGATCTCAAGGATTACTATTCAGGACATGGGCACAGAGCCGGACAAAGCCATACCAGAACACCTTCCAGAGCCTTCTCCGTTTCCCCTCTAGCTTCTTCCACTTTCCCCATGAAGAGACCATCTGTCTTTTTGTTGCTGTTGTTTTTAAGTGCCTTCTTGCTCAAGTTCTTTTAAAATTCTGTCATTTAAATGATTTTTTTGAAAATATATTTTTATTGATTTCAGAGAAGAATGGAGAGGGATAGAAAAATCAATGATGAGAGAGAAACATTGATTGGCTGCCTCCTACATGCCCCCTACTGGGGATCCAGCCAGCAACCTGGGCATGTGCCCTGACTAGGAACTGTGACTTTCTGGTTCATAGGTTGACACTCAACCACTGAGACACACCAGCCAGGCCAGAATGTATTTCTAACTGAAAAATCACAAAAGGGTCCATGAAGAAGGTGTCACTTGAGCTAAGCCTTAAAGACATAAAAATTCTGAAAAGTTTCATTTCTCAATGAGAAAGCGAAAGAGAGAAGACAAGAAAGTGAATAAGTCAATTTAAAAAAAAAACAAGTAATATTGAAAATTCATAACTTGGTTAATATTAGGATCAAAACTTGCAGGTTAATTCAAAATAGTCTTAAGTATTACTGCTTTTTCTTATCAAATGTTATAAATAACTAGTGGCCCAGTACACGGATTCATGCACATTGAAAAGAAATTAATTAGAAGGTGGTGGGCGGGGCAGGGAGGGGTGGGACTGGATGAGACCAGCAGGACACACCCTGGAGCCAACCTCCCGCAGTCCCTCCCTGGCTGGCCACACCTGGGATGGCGCCACGGCTCTAAGGGCGTCTGCGGAGTGAGTGGGTTCCCTTTGGCAGGTGGAGTCCATCAAGTTGACCTGTGGAAACCGGGCCAAAGCCAGCTCTCCAACATCCCCTGAGGGGTCCCAGAGTGCAAGGGGGCACTCTGCAAATTTGCTGGTGCTTGGCAGCTCCTGCATTGAGTGTCTGCCCCTTGGTGGTCAGTTCACATCATACCTACCGGCCCATTGGATGGTCAGTCAAATGGTTGCTTAGCCTTTTATATATATACTAGAGGCCCAGTGCACAAAAATTTGTGCACTCGGGGGGTGGGGGGATCCCTCAGCCCAGCCTGTGCCCTCTCGCAGTCTGCGACCCCTCGGGGGATGACCACCTGCTGGCTTAGGCCTGTTCCCCGGGGGATTGAGCCTAAGCTGGCAATCAGACATCCCTCTGGCAGCCCGGGAGCCCTCGGGAGATGTCCACTTGCCAGCAGGAGCAGGCCTAAGCTGCAGTTGGACATCATTAGCGCTGCTGAGGAGGCGGGAGAGGCTCCCACCACCACCGCTGTACTGACATC